CTTGTCAGCAACCTAGACCTGGCGTTTGAAATGCGCTTTCAGGACTTCAAGAAGAATTCAGGTGATATGTTTTCCCAACCCTTCAGCACAAGTGTGGACTGTGTCCCTGATCACATTCAGATGGAGCTGATTGAGTTTCAGTGCGATTCAGAGCTGAGGAATAAATTCATGTCACTGAAACTGAAGGACTTCTACACACATGTCTCACCAGAACGGTACCCAAACATTAGGAAGCATGCACAGGTGATGTTATCTCTGTTTGGCAGCACCTACATTTGTGAACAGACTTTCAGTGTAATGAACCTTAACAAAACCAGGCTCAGAAGCACTCTGACTGATCTACACCTGCAGGACGTTCTCACCCTCTCAGTTAGTCAGCTTCAGCCTGACATTGAGAGGCTGGTCAAAGCCAAAGACCAGCTTCATGTGTCTCACTAATAGTGTCAAACTGCTGCTGTTTGCTGTTCATAAGGACATGTATATGGACATAATTTGTGGCTAAATAAAGATTTATTTGCTTTGTATTTGCTTCCTGTTCTTTGTACAAAGAGTGAAATGTTAAATACCTTTATAATAAACACATTTCAATCAGAAAGTGCACCAGGAAACCCCCCACCCCCCTGCCACCACCGCCCACCCAGCCCTCAGCCCAGTAACGCATTTTCATTTTGGCCCTCCGAGGGGAAAAGTTTGGGCACCCCTGATCTAATGCATTTACCAAAGCAAACAAAATATCACAAGCTGGAATTGCTAACACACAGAAATCGATGTGCGCTTGTTCATCCTTGTATTCCGCACTCTCATATCCCCATCAGGTTGGGGAGATCGAGGAGCAGCTGACATCTACCAGGAGGGAACTGGCCCGATCGGAGGAGACCAACCAGAAACTACAGAGGGATGTGAAAGAGGTGAGGCTTTGCGAGCTGCAAGCAGACAATCACTCACCACTGTGTGTGTCTGTCACAGTGACACAAAAAGTCTGTTTTGCTCATACTCACAGAAATATGTAACAGTTCTCTATGGCAACAAAGCCATCATAACAAAGCCTGCTTGGCAGCAGCGGCTTCTACTGTACACACAAGAACCTCTACCCTGTAGTCATGGTGACAGCGTCATCTGGCACGCATGCACCCTGTTATTCAGTGTGTCGCTGGCTGATTGAAAGACATTTGGTGCATTTTGAGACATTTTCCTCAGGAAACATTTTTCCCTTTGTGCATTCTGCACTTATAACTGCCTCTTCTAACTTATCTTCCCACCAGTGCTCCTCTGCTGCCCCGCTGTCCCTGTTGGACTTGTGCACAAATGCATAAGTGGGTGCTTCTGAATCTGTCAACTATCAACCAGTCATGATCAATCTTTAGCTAATAGCTGTTTGGCCCCAGAATTCTGTTTGATCAACACCTACTTGTAGACTTGACTTTATCCCTCTCCCACTTTCTCTGTTTGATGCTCTTTCTTCTCTATTTCTGCATCAGTACATTTATAATAACATTTTTCTCTTTATTTATTCCAGGCACTCTGTCAAAGGGAAGACATGGAAGAGAGAATCACCACATTAGAACGCAGGTTTGTGCTTTTCCTCTGTGGCTCTCTGAGATTCCCTTCTATAAAAAAAAACATTTGCTCCACTCACTGCCCCATCTGTCTGCCGTTTTGTTCTGGTATGCAGGTACCTGAGCGCCCAGAGGGAGGCGACGTCTCTCCATGACATAAAAGATAAACTAGAGAATGAGTTGGCCAGCAAAGAGTCTCTCTACAGACAGGTGGGAAACATCTCTTTCATCCCCGTGTGTGTCCATGTTTCCACTGTTGATTGGCAGCTTGGCCCGTTTCACGTCGGCACACACACACACCGTGATATCGATGCGTTTTCTTTTCCCCCCGGTAGCTTTAATCATATCTGCTGCCCATGGCAATCTTCACTCACGCTTCAAATTTCACCTGCCCTCCCTCCCATCCTCTCTTCTTGCAGAGTGAGGAGAAGAACCGACAGCTTCAGGAGCGTTTGGATGATGCCAAACAGAAGCTGCAGCAAACTCTGCAGAGGGCCGAGACGCTGCCTGAGATAGAGGCCCAGTAGATGACCACTATCTGTGCATTTTTAAGCTATCTTAAGCCGCTTTAAATGTCACAAATAATTCTATCCTCCATACAGTTTTATAAAACGAAACAAAAAATATAAATATTTTCACCTGTCAGCAGCAGTTTGTGCATGCATGTGTGCATAAATCTGTGTAGGCAGGAATATGCTCTCATTTGAAATATATTAGTGAGAGCATATGGGCGTTTAGGCTGGTGCAGGCTTGAATATGGACGTGTGTGTGCATTTGTGTGCATTCATGTATGAGTGAGATTAAACATGAGATGTCAAATGACAGATAAATACCAAATATTTTCATTAAGCAGTGCCAGTATTGTGTAAGGAAACAGTCTAAGAACTCAACATGTCAGTTTATTTATTTATTCTTATGACTGGCTAATTGTATTGCGCTTGTATTAACCTCTCACATTCCTATAAAGGCAATTTTCACTCATGCCAAAAATAAATTAGATTTATTTTTGTCCCATTAGCCAATTCTCCTAAATGGTTACACTTACATACATGTTTAGGCAAGATGGCTGCCATGGAAGGAGAAGATTAATGCCCTGTAAGACACAAGCAAACAGACTTTCCTGTTATGCTGTGGTCTGTGCAGACATGTAACCAATTGATAGACTTGGTCAACAAACTGTTTCCTTTGTGTTCATTGTATTACTGTCGTAACATGGTTCTCACTCTAACCCTGCTTCCTTCTCCAATCAATCAGGCAGAGGAGCGTCATGGTAACTTTGAGGAGCGACTGCGACAGATGGAAGCACAACTGGAGGAGAAGAACCAGGAGCTTCAAAGAGTGAGTCATGCTTACTTTTCATCTCTCTTACTCTTTGTCTGTTTCCATCCTCCCCCTCATTTCTGCCGTTCCTATTTGCCAGGCTTTACGCAGCACAAAGGTGCAGTAATTTCTAAACCCTCTATTTGACTGTGCACATTCAGGTTGAAATCTTTGTCTGTTGCTCTCAGTGAAGCAGAATGCTTGTTATTAACTCTCCTCCCTCCCTTCCTTTTCTCCCCCCCTTGCTTTTTTTCTCTTTCAATCTCACCAATCTCACTCTCTCCCCCTCAGGCGAGGCAGAGGGAGAGGATGAATGACGAACACAACAAACGTCTCTCCGACACAGTGGACAAGCTGCTGTCTGAGTCCAATGAGAGGCTGCAGCTTCATCTGAAGGAGAGGATGGCCGCCCTGGAAGAAAAGGTGACCAGTTCGGACCAAAGTGCGCATTCAGAACAACTCTTTATTTGAATCTGTACCTGGTTAAACTGCAACAGAAAACAGGAAATCTCATCCCCCTAAATGAGACTTCAAAGATTTGTCCCGTTTGCCAAATAAACTCCAGCTGTTGGGTATGTTCACTCGCTCGTGCCCTCCAGAAAGTGACCAGTTAAAACTTGAGTGAATTCCAAACATTGTTCCAACTTCCAAGCAGCAGTGAGTGCTACATCCACAAACAAGTAGATTCTTGAACATTGCAATCTCTTTAGTTTTCCTTATGGCTCAGAATTTTTATTTTTTTAAAAGGTAAAAAAAAAAAAAAAAAAAAAAAAAAAAAAAAAATCTGTTTTTATTTTACTTATTGAAAAAAATTCTGAACATAGCAAAATCCGGGGGCCTCACCAATGATACATAGCATCAGGACAAATCAGATTTTAAAAACCTTCATTTGGAGTGTAAACACTTGACCGATTGTTCTTTTGACCTACTTTCTCTGCTGTGCAGTCAGCACCTTGTATGTGTTCCCTATATTTCTCTCTATTTTCTATAACCAGAAGCATTTTCTGAGCAGCCAGTATCACAAACGGAGAGTATGTAGTGTAAGCTGCTGTGATTGTTGTCCTTGAACAGCAGAAACATGAAATCTGGATGAAAACCAGTCCAGACCATTTAAAACATCTTGGTAAACACCAACATGGTGAGCATTAATTATCCTTTAATTTACAGTACAACAGTAAAGTGTTGAATAATAGTGTACAGGCGTTGCAGACTCACTGGATGGGTAAACATTTCTGTGGGTAGTGTAGTGAGGCCCTCAACAGGATTTCTGGATGTTAAAGCTGTTAAATCATTTCCCCCATGAAAGATGAGTGTGCTCATCTTTTGTTCCATTTTAAGCATATCACATTAAGGATGCACTGTGTTTATTTTACAGTAATAGTGCTTCTTGTTCTTCCCACTCCAGAACGCCCTATCAGAGGAACTGTCTAACATGAAGAAACTCCAAGATGATCTCTTGGCAAACAAGGTGACTGCACCTCAAGGCTTCATTTTTTGTTGAAGGTGGTTGACATATGTTCCCTGTTTCTTCAACTCTCTTTTTTGCCACTCCCAGGACCAGCTAATAGCGGAACTAGAAAGGCTTCAGCTGGAGCTGGATCAGTTGAGAGCCAGACCCGGGGGCTCTTATTCCAGGTTGGTGCCATCAGAACCACAGAGAGAGTGAAACTCAGATCAGTAGCTTGAGATGCCAGCATTGTGCATCTTATCTTGTCAGATATTGTAGACAAATCGCTCCTTGTTGGAGGTGCTTAGCGCTGCCAGCACTCACAGGGTTCATATGTCAAACAGTGTTGGTTTGTAAACACATTCATTAACTGGTTACACAAATACACACAACAGCCAGCGTTCTCATGCTTTCATATGCATGTCTTGACACTTTGTTTTATCGCCCTCTGTAGACCTGTTTATGTGAAAATTACATTAAATCACTGTTTTTCATCATATATTTTAATCTTTCTTTGCTTTTTATTTGATGTACTAGATTCAGTTTTTTTAAACTTCTTATTGGTTTTTGGCATATTTTCTCTTTAATGTTCTTTTATTTTATATATTTTGTTATATATCTGCTGTACATATTTCAGTTTTGGAAGTGGCAGCTGTGCTAGGTATAAATCCCTCATAAAATTTGCTGTGTGTTTTTCTTTGACATAAAATCCTACTGTAGTTGCCGCCACAGTCTTATTATTCCCCTTGCAGGGATAATTACCATTGTATCTTATCTCATATCACATCTTTCCTTCTATTTTTCCAGCCGCTCTCTGCCAGGTAGCGCTCTGGAGTTGAGGTATTCCCATGGGGGCGGGTCCCTCCCATCAGGCTCCACCACTCATCTGGATCCCTTTGGTAACACCTCTGCAGGGGGCGTGGTCAGGCGAAGTCACCGAGCCCGTTGGAGCTCGGCCCGGGAGGACTCTACAAAGGTGGGAACCCTACAATCCACTGCAGATTGAGTTCCATTCATCTGCAGTGTTATAAATGGATGTTTTACTGTCTTTTCACTTTTCTGGCATTTCCTGTGTAAGCTGCTTATGTGTGACAGGAGTTGACTTCTCAGCTCTGAGAGGTAAAAGATCGAGGAAAAATCTAAAAAGGATTGGCATCAGGTTCATGGATTATTTAACTAGGCTACATCTGTCACTTGGAGCTTGGAGTTTGAGATGACATTTCTATACATCTTCTATTGTCATGTTATTAAAGAGAAAATGTTAAAAGTATATTAATAGTTTTTAATAGAAAACAGCAGGTAGAATGTGTACCATTTTTACCATCTTAGTGGAGCTTGTTAGCATGTCAGCATTTGCTAAATAGCATTAAAAACCAAGAGCACCTGAGGCAAGTTTTGAGGGTATATGCTCATAAATCAAAGTATTGAAATTCTTTCATTGTGGTGCTAGGAAGGTTAATTGATCACCAAAGTTATACTTCATCTTGAGGTGTACCAAATTAAATGGCAATCCATTTGATTCATGGTTGTTAAGATGTCTCACTCACAGCATCAAATGTAAATGTTATGGTGGTACCAGATGGAAAATCAGAGAATCACTAAAGTCATTACAATTCACCCTCTAGGGACCATGAATTCTTGAACTAAATTTTCACCAAAATCTAATAGGTCTCTCCAAATCAATTCTGGTATTTAAGTTTGAACCAGAGTGTTGGATTAACCAACAGATCGATAGACCATCCCTAGAGCTGTGCCACTTACATGGCTAAAAGGTAGATTTAGTGTTTAGTATAACTGTTTGTTAATGGAGTCTAATGGTGACTGTATGATAACTTATCTTTTTTATGTCTATGTGCAGTACCCAGACTGGGAGAGCGGGGCTCTGCTGGGAACTGGGTTTGAGCCAGGCATGGATGTGGGCTGCTCCGATGATGAGGACGACGGGGACCATCGGTTTGGTTCTGAGCTGCTGTCCCCCAGTGGACAGACAGACGTTCAGACCCTGGCCATCATGCTGCAGGAACAGCTGGAGGCCATCAATAAAGAGATCAAGTAAGGGATGGCAGCACTACTCAACAGCTGGGAGGGAGAGGTTTCAGGGAAGTGTGAATGTTAGGAACACCTCATGCAGGCAGTCTGATACAGCACCACTGCTGAGAACTATAGCCTCAACAAACATTTCAGCAGCATGGTGCCACAGTTTCACTGTGGAGGGTGAACTACTTAGATAAATATGTGGAGTCAAAGTAGAATATTTCCATCAGAAATGGAGTATAAACTATACCATATACTTGAGCAAATGCACTTTCCATCATTGAAAACTAAACATTTATTACAGGGATGGTGGCTCAGATTAGAAATGATGTTACAGGCATACCTATAGATATAAATTGGTAACTCTGTGTATGTCCAAATATTGTTGTTTAATATCATCTGTGTTCTTTGAGGAAACCGGAAACATATTGTTTTGTCACTGCTTTGATAAACTGACAGTTTTACAATATTTATAGAACATAAAATAACATAACAAAATCAATAATTAAATTACTTAAGCAGCTGAGGTAAACTAACTTTGATAATGAGTTATTTGTCAAGTAAAACTACTATATGTCTGCAGATTTCAATGAATACATATGCAGACATTTAGTTTTTGTTTTCATGACACAAAATATGAAATTTGATGACACTGTGATTGGACCACTAGTAATTATTTTTCGACAATTTTTGGCTTTGGTTGAAACAAAGAATAAGGTGACTTTTCAGGACGTGCTCATTTGCTTTCTTGCTGAGAGCTAGAAAAATGATCTACACTGCTCACATGTCAGTATGGTAACTATGAAGCTACCTTCAGCAGCTAGCTAGTTTAGCATATATTGAATGGGGGGAAAGCGCTTTGAGTGGGCTGTAAAGCATAGAAAGGCGCTATACAAATATAAGACCATTTACCATTTACCATAGCTAGCCTGGCTCTGACCAAATCAAACCAACTATAACATGCACATTAGTGAGTGTAAAAGTACTGGTAGGTAGGTGTTTCCCCATTCTAAATTACTGGGCATCTGTGGTTCAATAGGTAGAGCGGTCATAATTTTCTAACAATAGTATGAGTCTCTAGTATGAGATCTTGTGTGAGCTCTTGGCTTTGTTTACATTCTACTAGCTTCTCATGCTCAAGTCTGGGGTTTGCTAATGAAGAGCTATGTCACCCATTGCAACAGTGTGTTTCACTGATGTGTTTTAATTGTTTTTGAACAATATCAGAGGTCTATGGTACAGACAAATAAGCTAATCCAGAACTGACACACTGACGGACATTAACCGGGAGTAGAGGCAACACAATGTCGGCTTTAGTCTCTGTATGAAGAAAATATTGTTAAAATTAGAAAGTGACTGGCCTTACCCTTTA